AAAAAACGCGACTTCTATTTCTGAAAATATCACAGTTAGGAGATTTATAACGAGTGGTCCCCTGCATTATTACAGCAAAGCGCGTCATTACAGTACTAAGCCGCTGCAATGGAGCAGCTCTAATGCTATTAAATTAAAGATGATGTAGGCTACCATAGAGCAAAAAAAGTGAAAGTAACAAAAACTAGTAAAATACATTTTAATGGGCATAATTAAGTGTGAAAATAACCGAAGGATATACAGTCAAACCAAAAATTATTCAGAGACCAGATATAATTTTTGATCTTTTTTTACTAGTGGGTGCAGGACACTATTGCTAATTTATGTAAGTGAGGATAGCAAAATAAAGTAAACTGTGACAAATTATACCCAAAAATTCTTCATACAGTGGACTACCAGTAAAACTGATACAAATTTGAGACCAAAAATTATTCAGACCGAGTCCGGGGGAAAAAATTTAAGTTCAGGTTTGCATGAACCTGGATGACAGCATGCCCAGGAGACTATATGCTGTCATTAAGGCTAAAGGTTGCCCGATTAAGTATTGATAGTTGTGTAAATACTGTCATACTGTCTGAACAATTTTTGGTTGATTGTAATCCATTACATACCTTTCTATCAAAGTTATCTAACATTATAAAGCTGAATTTGTTCTGACACAGTTAAACTCTGAGTTTTTGTCATATTTTATTACCATTTTCTAAACTATAGCGAATAAACTGTGATAATGGGAGAACTGTTGAAGGTGTCTGAATAATTTTTTTTTGACTGTATCTATTTGATAAATGAAGTTAACCAACTGACATTATACATACTCTTTTGGTTTCTGTACCCAATATTTAAAAAATTTACAAATGCTATAAAAATATCGGTATCGGTACTCGGTATCGGCAAGTACCAAAAATAAAAGTATCGGACGAGTACTGGAAAAAGTGGTATCAGTGCATCCCTACTTCTTTTTAATGACGGATATATAATATTGATAGCTGCTAATATAGACAGCTATTTCCTCTCACGCAGGCGCAAAACAAACATGTGTTAGTTTGCAGTCAGCTGTAGTCTGTGCGGTTTGTTCAAGTGCCGATTTTGGTCCAGACGCTGCCAACGCGAGGTGACAACACTGTCGGCTTTCGTCGCCTCTAGTTCTTTTAAGTCGGCTTGGTGTGTCCTGGCCTTTAGTTCATCGTCTGTATATTCTGGTTCAAATAAGTAAGGCTGGGCAAAAAATTGCAAGTGATCCTCTCTATCGAAATCTTCAGAAAAGTTTACAAAGACTGTTTAATGTACAGCGTGTCATTTTCTGCTTGTAAACACAGCAAAGTGCATTCTGGTTCTACTACAGAAAGCTGGCTCTTCTGTCGGTTGCTCCACGCGCATGTGTTGTGGTACTCCTGTGAATGTGCTTCGAAGACTGACAAGGAAGAGAAAAAATAGTTTTCTTTGCGCACAAAAAGTATTCCTGTAGCTTCACAACATTGCAGTTGAACCACTGATGTCACATGGACTATTTTAACAATGTCCTGACTACTTTTCTGGGCCATAAAACGTTTCAGTTGCTGCAAGGTCAGAAAGCTCTCGGGATTTCATCAAAAATATCTTAATTTGTGTTCTGAAGGTGAACAAAGGTCTTATGGGTTTGGAACAAAATGAGGGTGAGTAATTAATGACAGAATTTTCACTTTTAGGTGAACAATCCCTTTAAGAAATAAATGTGTATTTGTGAAGAATCATCTGAATGGTTTACTGTCACATGAGATGAAGACTGTACTCCATTTTTTTTTCTTCTAAAATAAGTTTTTTAATTAGATGTATTTCAGCATGTTGAAATGATGTTAAATGCAGTGTTTCACTAAACGCTAGAGATAATTCTTACTCTCATTAGCTGCTGCCCCTGTAGTAGTGTAGTTATTTTTATTTTTTTTGGTGATGCAAAGACCAAAAATTAGACAGTGGAACACACTTATTACCAAGATTTACCAGCAAAGACAACATTGGCAAGGCAAACACGAGGTGGAAAGATATAATGAAGGAGAAAATCCTGAGTAGTAGTGAAGACAAAGTTGCTTCTTTTTTTGTTGGACAGCTTAGGGAATTAATTATTCTATAGACTGCTCTCTAAAACTCAAGTATCAATGTCATTTACATAAAACTCAGAGACAATCATGCTGAGCCATGTCAACTGAAATGACACAAAACACAGTAATGTTAATGCAAGCTAAAAAAAAGGTACTAATGAGCAACATTTAGGAGTAGATGATGTACAAAAACATACCTTTGAGGATAGGCTCCTTCCCCAGCGACAAACAATTTTACCATTTTTTTCTGACAGTTTACCAACAAAGAGGCAAAGATTTAACTCAGGTTTCAAGCAGCAATTGCACAACAATTTTAGCACACAAACTTTTACCAACAGGCTTTAACCAAAAAAAAGTACATATACAAATTCTGTCAAGTTCTCTTCCTACACATACAGTACCCTAAGAAACCTGTCCTGCATTTGAATGAACATCTGAGGAGAGTTACTCTTGCATAAGCCCTTCTTATTGCCTTTTATGTGACGCCATACTTCAGGAGAGAGCTCTTATTGATAATGCAGACTGGCAGGGAGAAAAAAAGGGCGGAAACTTTGGGTTGGTGCTCCGTTAGCACCAGTCATACTTATTACTGACTGTATGTGGTATGGAAAATATTAAAAATCAATCAGAAGTAGCAGAAAACCAAATAAAAGGCTGCATAACTACAAGAACTGATCTGTAAGCTGGAGTCAAGACACCAATGAAATGGATTTGGTTCAATGATTAGTAATCAGGTATGAGATGATACTATACCAATGACCACATGCATGTCCAGGGTGGCTAGATGTCTGGAAATCTCATATCCCATTCCTCTGGCTCCCCCTGTAACTATGGCAACCTTTCCATTCTGCTTGGGCAAATCTGGGCAAGACAGGAAATTATGAAAAAAATTAAATTATGATTTTTTTTCTTCTGTAATATCTAAAAAAAAGATGTTTTACACTGACAAGGACTGTCTTTGTTTGGGACATATCCTGTCATCCCTCTGTGAGTGTTCTTGGATGTGCCGTGGTCTCAGGGATCATTAAATGTAGAAACGGCATCCTACACTGATGAAAACAGCATAACCTGCTTTTGTGATAAACCTACTTATGATGCTATTCCTTCACTCTTTTGCTTTATGGGTACTTATTATTAATTGTGTAAAAACACTTGTGTTTTCAAGCAGAGAAATTATGGCAATCATCACTGATAAGCAAAGTTACTTTTTGTTGCCATTTCCATGTTAAAATATCCAGTTAAAATTAGTTAATTGCAAAGCTTATATTTTTCAGAACATAGTCCAATAATGCAAACAAGTCTTAAAATCAGTGTTTTTTAATCATGTCCTTTTTTTTTCTTCTTTCTTTCTTTTTTTATAGCTAATCCGGTCAGGCTTCCGAAGATTTAAATATTTCTGATACAAAAGACCATTGTGAGGATGGATTTGAGTCTAATCCTTTTGCTTTGCGCTGGGACACGGTTGAACTTTAACAGTGATTTAAATTTAAATAAAGAGCCGTCTACAATTGCAATGGCACAATCTTAAGTAGAAACATGTGATTAGTTTGTGATAATGCATGCATCACTGAATCTCTGGCAACACTCTAAATTACCCAGAGTATTCTATAAATTAAATTACATATTCTTTAATAAATGGGCATACGCGACTATAATTGAAATCCAGCATTTCAGCCAGAGGCTAATAAACTTATAAGACATTTAAAACAAATACATTATAAATACAGTACATTTCTAACTAAGTGAACATCAACCCATATTATGTAATCACTTTTAATGAAATGTATTATAAAGTGTCTTTATAAAAAAGACCTCAGCTTTGGAGTAAACAGGTCAAAGGTTACAGTCGGCTATGTTTAGATAACAAATGAGAAACATGTTTAAACTATTTCTTTTAAAGTTATGCATAATAACAGCCAAGTTAGCAGCCATAATATGCAAACTAATAAACTTCAATATCAGAAAGTATAAGGATGTGTTCAAAGAAAGTAGACTCAAAAAAACAAAAAACACTGTAAATGATAATAATTTATCTCTAATCTCTCATATCTTTTACTGACATTTTTGTTTATTTATTTTTTACAGTAGAACAGAAATAACAGTCTCCTTTCATTAACTTAAACCTTTCACCATACAATATAAGTGAGCGGGGACTGATTGTGTTACTCCGCGTAGCTAATTTCGTTTATCGGAGAAAAAAAACTAAAAAACATACTGTTTCGGAAGAACATGAACGTGAGCAAATAAATGCAGAATTTTTGTTTTCGCGTGAACTGTCCCTTTAAGCGCACTTCTCACAAAGCGATTCTAAACGTCCCCAATCTACAGCTGACAGCTCCTAAATAACGTTACTGAATGCCTGTTTGAGCTGCTGTTCGACAATAAAACAAGCCCGTCAGATCACTACAAATCCGTGACCATAAAAACCTCTAACCTGGCAGGATGAAGGATCTGTTGAAAAGCTGGTATAGAAGAACTTTGACGCCGTCTAAGTAGAGTCTGATGAAGCCGAGGACACAAGGCAAAAGCCACCACATGTTTGAAGATGACAGCGAGTGTCTCAGTATTTACACGCCGTGCTGAAGTACAGCAGGATTATCAGCTGTTTGTTCGATAGTTCCGCTTTCTACCTCAATCACCGTAGACACACTAGACTAGAGAGTCTGGATGCAGATTTACGGGGAGTAGCCACTACCAAGAAAGGGCGAAACAAATGTAGCTGAAGAAGATTACCAACAAACTTTTTAAGAAAAGTAAATAGTGCAGTCTACGTTAGCCCATTTCCACCACGGAATAAAAAATCTCACAGTTCTGTCTTTTTTTTTCATCGCAGTTCTGAGAAAACAGCAAGTTTATATCGCTGACTTTTTTTCCTCAAAACTGCGAGAAACAAAGTCTGAATTGTTTGATAAAAAATTGAAATGTACTTTTTTATTTTTTATTCTGTGGGGGAAAGGGCGCCATACAGTGTAGTTAAAGGGATAGTTCACCCCCAAAAAATCCAGTTAATGTAAGTGAAGTGACATGTGGCCAAGCATGGTGACCCATACTTGGAATTTGTGCTCTGCATTTCACCAATCCAAGCGCGCACACACTGTGAACACTCACCCGGAGCAGTGGGTATGTGCTGAGGCGCCCGGGGAGCAGTTGGGGGTTTGGTGCCTTGCTCAAGGGTCTCACCTCAGTCGTGGTATTGAAGGTGGAAGAGAGCACTGGTTATTCACTCCCCCCACCAACAATCCCTGCCGGACCTGAGACTCGAACCCACGACCTTCGGGATACAAGTCCGACTCTAGCATAACATAGTGTAGCATAAATAAATAAAAATAAAAATAAATACTTTGACACACAATGGGTACAAGAAACTGTTTGTTTACTCACTTTCTTCAAAATATTGTGAAGAAATTCACAACTTGAGTGAGTGAATGATGACAAAAATGTAAATTTTTAGGTGAACTATTCCTTTAAGAGATAGCCTACCCTGAATAAAAAGAGAGATTTTAGTGGCCAGTGCAGATCTAATAACTAGAGAGCTAGCCAACATAATGCAGATAGATACCCAATAATAACATTTCATGGTAGGAAATAAGATAAAACTGCTAAATTTAACTGAACTGTTTTTTTTAACAATATTTACTTAAAGTTCACAATTTATTTGCACTATTTTTAAATGTAACTAGGTGGAATAAACTTCCATGTGTGTGCCTGTGTGTGTGGGGGGGGGCATTGTCAGGTTAGATTTTATGATGACCTTAATCGGCCAGTTGGGTACAGTTATCAGGCGATGCAGATTAAATATTGATAGACTGATAGATCAAAATCTCTTATATGTTATGCAATGTTATTTTATGATGTATGGTGCAAATGGGTGATATAGGTCATTCTGTACGAGTATGCTTTTGATCACCTTCCAGCCCATTTCCCCCCTGTAAATTTCTGTTTATTTTATTTAATATAATTTTTCCCCCTACATTTTGTAAACTGGGGAGACCCTCAAATTTAGCAGTTTACTTTAGATTCTTCTCTAAATAAGTAAAACTCCAGTACTGAGGACCCACCTACCTGAATGTTTTAGATATCTCACTAATTAAAACACCTGATTCAACTCATCAGCTTTTTAATGTGTTAATAACAAGACCTCTTAAAACATTCTGGGAAAACTAGAGCTGGGATATAGATGCGTCAGATGTTCTCGCGCCATTGAATTACACAAGATGTGCTTTTGGAACATTCTCAAATCTTGCTGGATAACATGGATCATCAGGTTTACTTGTGGAGATGCCAAATCACCAGCTTAAATTCTGCTGTCAATTACCAAGACATTTTGAAATTCATGTTCATTTTTCAGTTAAAACTGTCACTTGAATTGTTATGCTGACAATAATTTGTCATGAAAATAGTTATATTAGAGAAATCCAAGATAGAAGCATTTCCCTTATTGGTCTTCCTCTGTCTCTCTCTCTCCCTATATATATATATATATAATATATATATATATATATATATGAATAATCTCTGGCTGTTATACTCTATATTCTTGGCACCAGCAGTTTTTTTCTGTTGGGAGCAAACAGGTATTTATGTAGCCTACTGTCATACAAGAGGGATGTGTGCCATGAAAACCCCTCAAGAGAGAGAAACGCAAACCTGGAGCTCAGCTTTGGTGCAGTGACAGCAGGTTGTGGAGAATCCTTGATGTTCGACTAGTACTATGTAAACAGACATTTTCTACTGGAAGTGCTCTCAGGCCTTATAAATAGGGATTGTGTCTGAGAAAAGAGGCTGAATGTCTTAGATTGTGGAAACTGAGCAATTTAAACATGGACCTGTTACTGAATTTTTATAATGTTTGAGAATTCAGGGGGAAAAAAAGAAAATGTTGGACATGGGTCAAAGAGGCTGAGGTGTGACAAAATGACAACTTTGTTTTCCACATCGGCACTCAGGATTTGTCCTCAAAGGTTAAATCCATGCCGCTTATCAAAAACTAATAATTACGTGCCATTGTGACCTGAGGAGCTTCTGCCTTGCTTCCTCTTCTTGTCTTCATCTCTTTTAGCAGGCATGTTTCTTTATCCTTTCAGGGCCAAGGAGGTTGCTTCCCCTGAGCATGTTCTAATACTGACCTGAATCCCTACTCACACTCGTTCTTTCCAGAAGTGCTAAGCCTGCAGACAAACAAGCACCCACACATAAACTCGATTTTCTCTCTCCCTCTTTTCCTCTTACTCTGGATGCTGGATAGCAAAACAGCTGTTGTATTTCCCCCTTCAGAGTTTGTTTGTATCTGCAGACTCCTTGTCAGAATGCATTCAGAACAACAGCACTTTTAACCTGGGAGCTCCAACCCTCCCCCATCTCTCACTCTACCGCTTCTTATTTTCTCTCTCTCTCTCTCCGGTTCCACAGTTCCAAGGACAGTTGAGTAATTTGTTACATATGCGCACATGGAGTGTAGTTGGCATTCAGAGCATGAGTGAAAATTCTGTTATTATTTACTCACCCTCATGTCATCCAAACAGTACTTTCGTAACCAAAACTTAGAAGATCCAAAAAGATCATAGAGGCATCATAAAATGAATCCACATGAATCAGGGGGGTTACGTTTTGTGAAGATCTATGATTGCTTTGATGACAAGATTTAATTTAGGTTTTTATTTAAATCTAAACAATGATCAAAAAACATCACATATGGTAAACACGGAAGCTCAAATGTGAGTGGATTCATTTTACAATGCCTTTATGATTATTTTGGATCTTCTAAGTTTTGGTTACATGGACTTTTAATGGAGGGACAGAAACCTCTCAGGTTTTAGTTCAAATATTGTAATTTGTGTTTTGAAGATTAACCAAAGTCTTACAGTTTCGGAAAGACATAAGTTTGAGTAAATTATGGCAGAATTTGCATATTTTACTTACATTAATAATAATGTAATTAATCAATTTGGCATTATGACTTATTTCATATCACCTCTCAGCTTCATACTGTTATTGATAGTGGTTTTAAGGCATGAATATAATGGGTAGCTGTGTTACAATTTAATAATATATCATTTATTTTTCTGTCAACACAATCATTGCAAAATATGTATGTACAGTATGTCCGTATGCATGTATTTATTTAAAAAATAGTTATATGAATGGAGCTGTGGTCATTTTGTAAAGAATACAATGATACAAGAACCAATTTGGTGTATATATATATATATATATATATATAAAGCCTATATATGCAGCGGGTAAAATAAGTATTGAACACATCACCATTTTTCTCAGTAAATATATTTCTAAAGGTGCTGTTGACATGAAATTTTCACCAGATATCAGTAACAACCCAAGTAATCCATACATACAAATAAAACAATACAAATAAGTTCAGAAATTAAGTTCTGTGTAATAAAATGGAATGACCCTGGGAAAAAGTATTGAACACACTTACTGAAATGTATTTAATACTTCGTACAAAAGCCTTTGTTGGTAATGACAGCTTCAAGATGCCTCCTGTATGGAGAAACTAGTCATATGCATTGCTCAGGTGTGATTTTGGCCCATTCTTCCACACAAAACAGTCTTCAAATCTGGAAGGTTCCATGGGCCTCTTCTATGAACTCTAAGGCTCCGTTCACACTACAAGCGTGAACTTCTTCTATTTATGAAGTACTGGCACAAAGTTCAAATGATTTTAAACAGTCGTCCAGTGCAGACTAAAGCCCCGTTCACACTACAAGAGACAAAGCGACACGATCCCATTCATTTCAGTGGAGAGCTGGCGATTTCCTGCGACAAGCGCGACGGTGGCCGTTGGCAACAGATGGGGCGTGTCCAGCGACACGACAAAGTTCAGAATCCTTCAACTTTATGCAAATGAAGAGCGACTTTCGGGAGCGACAGCCAATAGGAAAGAAGATGGCAGAGCTCATGTGTTCGTTCTCCTCTCAGCCATAGATAACCATATGCAATGGGAAAAAAATAGGCTCTGTTTCTCATTCATTTTTGTCTGTATGTATGGATTTAATTCATGTTTATATTATATTTAGTCCTTTTGCCTCCAAAATGTTTGTATTTAACGACAAAGTTGCTGCTAGTGTGAACATGCCGTAACTTTAGCTGTTGCGGCGTGGTGCGACAGCTGTCGTGTTCGGTGTAGACACGGTGTAATAGATTTTCTATTGGATTCAAGTCAGGTGATTGGCTGGGCCATTCTAGCAGCTTAAAGCCTCGTACACACCGGGATGATTATTGCGCGCTTATCGCCGACGTTTTTCGACGCGTCTTTTGTGTTCATACCCAAGCGAATTTCGTTGGCGATGAGTCGAGTGAATGTGCAAATTCATTTCCTGACATTAGATGGCACTTAATGAAAAACAGAAATACCCCGGTACACATCGAATCCTATTTGATCAGCAATTCTTCTCCATAACAACTCCCTCTTATCGAGATTTTTGTAGTCGCTAAGCGTTTGTCATAAAGCCCTTTGTGTTCAGACACCAATGAGACCAGCAGCTCTACATTCATCTTGCCTCTATGCATCTTCTTGGTCTACTTACTTCCTCTTCGTCATTAGGTATCAATGTGTGCTCGGCAAGACCGTTTTGTGCTTGAGTGCCACCAAGTCGTGTTTTACTGTAACTTCAGCAGCTCTAGGCACGTGAACAAAAGCGCCAATCTCATTGTTCGGACAGTTTTTAACGCAGCCCTTCAAACCAAAAAAACAAGCCCGAGGCGGTTTCTAAAAAATTACGCTTTTACGCCTCGCGTTTTGCGAGTCGGTGTGCACACTCACATTGGCGCCCTTTGTTTAGTCACGAGGCGTTAAACGTCGGCGATAATCACGCGCGATATTCGTCCCAGTGTGAACAAGCCTTTACTTTCTTTGTCTGAAACCAAATGAGAGTTTCCTTGGCTGTGTGTTTGGGATCATTGTCTCGCTGGAATGTCCACCCTTGTTTCATCTTCATCATCCTGGTAGATGGCAGCAGATTTTTATCAAGAATGTCTCTGTACATTTTTCCATTCATCCTTCCTTCAATTATATGAATTTTGCCAGTGCTACACCTTGATGTTTTGGGGTGATGTACAGTGCCATTTCACCACCAAAAATGGTGTGTATTATGGCATCCAAAGAGTACAATTTTGGTCTCATCTGACCAGACTATATTCTCCCAGTATTTCACAGGCTTGTCTAAATGTTGTGCAACAAACTTTAAATGAGCTTCAACATGCTTTTTCTTCAGCAATAGAGCCTTGCGTGGTGAGCGTGTAGATGAAATTGTAGCCGTTTTGCAAAAGAAGAAATAGATAAATATATATATAAAAAATGGAAACGATAACGCATAATCAACGCTTTGCCGACTATGGAACATCTATAGGCTATATATTGGTGAATTAAAACAAAAAGAACAAATATAAAGACATGAAGCTGTAGCAATGAGTTCTCACTGAATCTCTCCATAACGAATGGCTGAAAGCATGAACCAAATTCCAAACGCTCTCATATCTTAAGCGCACAACAGGCGAACCACAGGTGTCTATGGCAAGCCGTTTATCGCATAAACCCAACTAGGCTATAGCCTATCTATTTTTACATTTCTGTATTTTCATCATATATTCAATATTACTAATAACTTAACTAAAATTGGCCTTTCTGACTAGCTGCATATATAAAATCAATTCTAGCTTGAGATAAATGTTACCTGGTGACATATAGGTACGAGTATCCAATTATAAATAAGCTCTTAAAAGGATATTAACTACTGAGAGTTACTAGTTCCAGAAATCCTGGGTTTGGAGGGATTGAAGTTTAGCTCTAATTCCAATCAAACTCATCTGAACTAAAGTAATCACTGTCTTCAGGATTAGTAAAATCATCCAGGTAGGTAAACTGGGACAAGCTGGAGCTAAACTCTGCAGTACATTTCTGTATTTTCATCATATATTCAATATTACTAATAACTTAACTAAAATTGGCCTTTCTGACTAGCTGCATATATAAAATCAATTCTAGCTTGAGATAACTGTTACCTGGTAACATATAGGTACGAGTATCCAATTATAAATAAGCTCTTAAAAGGATATTAACTACTGAGAGTTACTAGTTCCAGAAATCCTGGGTTTGGAGGGATTGAAGTTTAAATCTAATTCCAATCAAACTCATCTGAACTAAAGTAATCACTGTCTTCAGGATTAGTAAAATCATCCAGGTAGGTAAACTGGGACAAGCTGGAGCTAAACTCTGCAGGACGGTGGGACTGCAGGATTGGACAATCCTGTACTAGCTGAAACAACTGAAATACAATAATCTGTGAATAGTTGATAAAAGATACAAAGAAATTATTGGGAAAAAAATGCATTCAATTTGTTGCCACTAACAATGGAATATTGACTGTAACTGTTAAGCAATGGGATAAGTACTGGTACATAAGTACTAATTGAATAGACAGCCTTAGTGACTGCTGTAATATGGAATACAAATACTATCCATTGAATAGTGGAAATTGAAAAATGCACTTGTTAATATTGGATTACTCGTTACTAATTATACATACAGCCTGAACCAAATAAATAAATAATAATAATACTAACAAAATATGGTTTTATTGAATACATGTTAATTAGGCTTGCCATAGGTTTCCATAAACCTCCAGTGCGATTAACTGGTATAAGATTTGCTTTAGTGTATCAGCAAAAAAAATGAGACATCCATAAACTGTACACCATAAGCAGGCGGCACTCAGATGATTCCATGCTTAAAAACCACTGACAGCCCTCGATATCATATCTCAACTTTTGTATTGTTCATTTTCGCTCATATAGCGTTTTTGCTCTCTACTGTATATTTGGGAAGGTAAGAATTGAGTTTATGAAATGTGATACAGTACTTACATATAAACTTAATGAGCAAACAAGTTCTTTTATCATTAATAGCAGAAAAAAAGTCCACTGAATTTAATGGTTTTATTGAATACATGTTAATTAGGCTTGCCATAGGTTTCCATAAACCTCCAGTGCGATTAACTGGTATAAGATTTGCTTTAGTGTATCTGACAGCAAAAAAATGAGACATCCATAAACTGTACACCATAAGCAGGCGGCACTCAGATGATTCCATGCTTAAAAACCACTGACAGCCCTCGATATCATATCTCAACTTTTGTATTGTTCATTTTCGCTCATATAGCGTTTTTGCTCTCTACTGTATATTTGGGAAGGTAAGAATTGAGTTTATGAAATGTGATACAGTACTTACATATAAACTTAATGAGCAAACAAGTTCTTTTATCATTAATAGCAGAAAAAAAGTCCACTGAATTTAATTTAAACGAGAATAAGGTGCCGTGTTGTTCCTTTTTTGAGTCCCCGATTTCAAATTCAAATTAGTTTAAAAAGCTCAAAAGCGGACATGTGCAATGATTTGAATTGGTATGCGTCTACATTAACAGGTGCAAGGAAAGCAGATCTTCTCAATGGTTACCGACAGCCAGTGAAGCGCAACACGTTAGTGGAAAAGGACACCCCAATCAATGTCAGTATATTAAAACAAAAATACCGAATCAGTGCTGTCCACTCTTAGTTTATCAGGTTAGTAACAGGGAACTTACCAGTCACCCTTTGCTCCCTTCTTGGTCAGTGCCAAAGCTTGGACACCCGGTGCATGTCCTTAAAGACCCATCCAATAATGTCAATCAAATTCCGTGATCACAATCCACATCTCGACAGATATACCATAATATCACGTACAAAATGAGCAGGATCGCAAAAATAAACAGTGCAACCAGTATTGCTTTGGTGACTGGGGATATTAAAGACTGCATGATACCGGCGAGCTGGAGAAAGCAGACACCGTGAGCGCAATGAAGATGGATACACGTTCAGGCGCCAGCAGCGTCCGATCCGGTCCGCATCTGCATTGGTGCGTGCCGAGTGGGGAACCTAGGATGAAACGCGTGGGATCTTCAAAAACATGACACGCGAAAGAGCGCTGCCTCATGGTGATCTCTCACACCATTTGCGCAAGGGGGCACGATACTCTGAGGTCCCTTCAGCATACCCATCATCCAGTACTGCTTGCTCAAATTATAGATTAAATAAATTAAATCTTAAATGATAAGAATGTTAATGTGATGTAGTAATGTTAATGCGTGTTAATAGCTCTTCATAATTAGGTTGCGTTACAAAGTGTTTTTTTTATTTAAAAAAAAATAAGTTTGAGGGTTTTTGTCCAACAAATGAGGTGTCCTTGAATTATATTCTAACCAGATCTGTTGACAAAGATGACAATGGGTTGTGTTTTATTTCAACTTTAATCCCAACTGTGCTAGTCAAGTCAGCCTATCTGATAATGGTGATTCTCAGTGAGTCAGATCAGAAATATTTACCATAGTTAAATTAATCCTGTAGAGAGCTGCTTGGACGCTTCTATTGTTGCAACGCGTTCGATTAACACTAGATGGCGTAAGAAACCAGTCTATTTGCTGTCTGCTAGGGGGCGCCATTGCCACCACTAATGCCAAATATGATTCAGGGGGCGCTATTGCCACCACTAATGCCAAATATGATTCAGGGGGCGCTATTGCCACCACTAATGCCAAATATGATTCAGGGGGCGCTATTGCCACCACTAATGCCAAATATGATTCAGGGGGCGCTATTGCCACCACTAATGCCAAATATGATTCAGGGGGCGCTATTGCCACCACTAATGCCAAATATGATTAAAATTAGAAGCGCATCTAAAACTGTGGCACGCCCATGTTCAGTGATTTTTGAGCAGAAAAAAAAAACAACGTAAAACTTAATCTTAAAACACAATGGCACTATTACGAGTAAACACGCTGTTTGTACAAAATGCTGTGGCAGAAATCACATAGGCTGAATTTGTTACGATCACCTTCAGCAGATTATTGGTTTTACCTAAAGATTAAGACATCTTCTGTCCACCGTGTGTCCAATATAAGAGTTATATATTTTCCGTTAATTTGCTATGTATAGCCTATATGAAGAATGTTTTTATTAATTCATCCACTACATAAGCCAAGCTTGTTCTAATACTCACGAGCTCAAAAAAGCGCAGGTAGGGCGTGGCGAGCCGCGCCTTTTTCCTGCACAGTCTGTTTTGGATCATAATTGGACTGTACAGACCGAACTGAGGAACCGCGTTGGGCCACGCTCGGATCACTCAGAGGGGTGGTAACTGAAGTTAGTTACTGCTCAACTTTAGCTTCGAGAAACTTGTAGTAGTTGGTTTCTAGGCTCGTAAAGCCTTATATCTTTGCGAATTATTGAAATTGCTCTAAATTTGTTTTAATCTTATATATTTTCACAGCAAGATGATGACTTCATACACGTGGATGTTACTTCTTCTGGCAAGTCTTGTGGCAACAAGAGCGCAAGGTATGGTTTCCTATCTAAACTTGAGGTGTTGTTTTGGTAACAGCGCTTGTAATTTGTAGCACTAGGAAGTATCGTGCCCAAAATAACGCAACAAAGACGCAGGAGTCACTTTTTGGCGATTGCCACTGCTAACCGTGCTCTGTATGAACGATAAAAACGCTTGTTTTAATTGCTCGTAAATAAGCTGTAATTGAAGCGTTGAATTACATTTTTGGCCTACTATGCTGGTTATTTACCGTTTTGTATTACTGAAAAAGTTGAATGTTTGAATGACCAAAAAACTTCGGTTTGGTGCATTGGTTTGACTCTTTGAAATGAAATCTTTCCACATACAAGCTGCATGACTCACCAACCTATGGGAAGAATGGGTTGGAGAATGTTTGTTTCTGTACCATGGTATTATTGGTAACATCACGTAATCCCTTGCGAAAATTAACCATGGTTTTGCTACACTAACAATAGTTTAACCATGGTATTTATAGTAAAACTGTGGTTATAAGAATAGTCATAAATACGCCAAAAAAACATGCTTACTATACTTCTACTACAATAAAACCATGGTTAATTTTCGTAAGGGATATTTTTAAAAGCATGACCAAAAGTCATGACATACAAATAAAGCAGAGTTGAAACTGAGATTAGTGATCCTTCCACGTATTCCCAGCTACCTTTGCTTTTATTACCAACTTAAAATATGGACTTTACATGTTAATATGCATAATTTAGCTGTTAGTGGTTTCTCTTTGCCTCACAGAGCAGTTATTTTCCCCAATTATAATTATAAAACAAACCATAAATAGTACACTGTCTTTGCCTGTTGTTTGAGGCTTTTGTTCAACTTGAAATATTGTAAATCTTACTTTAACAATGCATGATGCAAGCAGTTGCAGGGGTGGCATGTTATAATGTTGCACTGTTTCATATTTAATGTTTTTGCAGGTATATAAGTGAGTGACAATAAATAATTTTGGCAAACACGAACACAATATTGTTAATGAACCAATGATAACAACTTTCTCATTGTTTGGTATCTTTATAGCTTGGGAAGCAACTCAAATCTCAGGTTAGACTTTGAAGGTCACAGAAAAATAGTTTTTTTCCCCCAAAAACATCAAATTTTGCTCTGCATTATCAGTTAAGTTGCCTTGAACAGTGTGCTAAAAAAACTTGATCACATGACTTTCTGTGTTTTTGCAGTGAGTCTCAAAGTAAACCACAGCTACTCTCTTTTGTACTAAATGGGACATTGATGTTTTGGCACGATCTGAGATTAGTTTCTTCTTGCTGGCTTAGTGTTTTAATTCTGAGAAATGCTCAGAGAGCAACACAAATTTTTTTTGTCACAAGCAAAATCAAACACACCCAAATTTTAATTGTAATATTTTACAAGTAATACTTGCATCACTCAAGTTTGCCTAAATTTTCGCTTTTCCCAAACTCTAAATGTAGTTCTTCCCAAATTATGTTTTTATGCAATGCAAGACAATTGCATAAACATGCACCCAGATAAAATGGGTCTGGTTTCAGTTGTGACTCAACCACCAGTCATCATCTTGGGTTTTGCGTAGACCATATTGAAAACAGTCCATTGCCCTGGCAACGTAAGCCACAGGATGTGGCCTCTGCCAGGGTGTTTCGTGTGGCAGGCCCACAGTCGCACGCTTAACATCGCGTGTCGTGTGTAGTGTACATCCGAAAACATTTGTTTCATATTTTTATGGTAACAGTAATTTTACATACAGTTTTGGTTTGTCACATCAAGGGTTGGGAGGGTTTGGTCACAATGTGAATCTAATACGACACACAATAGATACATACAGTGTATTGCTGGGTGGGGTTTTCGAACTGTCAAATTCCAAGTAAACCACAGCTACTCTCTTTTGTACTAAATGGGACATTGATGTTTTGGCACGATCTGAGATTAGTTTCTTCTTGCTGGCTTAGTGTTTTAATTCTGAGAAATGCTCAGAGAGCAGCACAACAGGCATAGTGTACAGGCCAGAGCAGATTTTGTCACAAGCAAAATCAGACACACCCAAATTTTAATTGTAATATTTTACAAGTAATACTTGCATCACTCAAGTTTGCCTGAATTTTCGCTTTTCCCAAACTCTAAATGTAGTTCTTCCCAAATAATTTTTTTATGCAATGCAAGACAATTGCATAAACATGCACCCAGATAAAATAATCGCTCTGGTTTCAGTTGTGACTCAACCACCAGTCATCATCTTGGGTTTTGCGTAGACCATATTGAAAACAGTCCATTGCCCTGGCAACGTAAGCCACAGGATGCGGCCTCTGCCAGGGTGTTTCGTGTGGCAGGCCCACAGTCGCATGCTTAACATCGCGTGTCGTGTGTAGTGTACATCCGAAAACATTTGTTTCATATTTTTATGGTAACAGTAATTTTACATACAGTTTTGGTTTGTCACATCAAGGGTTGGGAGGGTTTGGTCACAATGTGAATCTAATACGACACACAATAGATACATACAGTGGCAAGCAAATGTGGAACACCATACTTCCAACCTTGTTTCTGTGTATATTGTTCTAGTATATCATTATTTATGTTGTCGTTTCAAACAATTAACAATATTATTATGATCTTAAGCCCCTGCGAAGCCAACAGTGAAACCAGCCCCACCGAAAAACCCAGAATCAGGTAACCTTTAACATTACGCTCAAACATATTTTAGTTGCTATATTTCATAATTGTATTGATTGAGTTAGGCACATGGTAGTATATTCAAAGTCTTATTTAATGGTCTTGGTTTTGTCTTGCTCTTGTAGGATTTGATCTTTCAGATGCCTTCGATTTGGGTAAGACCGTTTGAGCTCAGAGATATTCACAAATAGAGTTTAAATAAATTGTGGTCATGTTAGTCTTTAATTTGATCAAACTTTTGTGGTTTCCTCTATTAGGGCCTGCTGAATATATGATGATCAGTGCATTGATTAAACTCATTGTTTATTCATGTCCTCATTTGTTTATGTATTTTAATTGGAAATGTCCTGTATAAGCTTTACCTCTTCCCTCTGTAACATGATAGACATTTTGTAGCACTGCATGGCAAAATGAACACCACCTTTGGAGATTTGAATTGTTTTTCATTTAATTTTGTAATTACTCAAAAAAAAAAAGTAATGGTTTTGTGGAAAAATTGGACTAATTAAATTCTGCAGCTGCATGCAGTTGAATTTCTTTAAATTGCAGTTCTGTAAATTCCTCTGTTATGCCAATTGAAATTCCACCATGCCTTGGTCTTCAGTTTAATAACTAAACTTGAATTACCCTAAATTCAAAATGAAAAAAACTTTGACCATTGTTTGTTGTACACAGACCCTAAAAAACCTGCAGTGGTTCCCCCCAAATCAGAAGATGGTAAGAGAACATTATACTGAGGTGTTTATGTAATTATGTGTAAAGTTTGTGGGTTACACTTTTATTTTAAGGTGCCCTTACTGTAGTGTTATCGTATATTAAAGAAATAGTAATTAGCAACATGGGTTAGTGTTAAAGTTTAGGGTTAGTTGAAAGTAAGTATGTGTAACAAGGTTACACTGTTAAATGAAATGCTGCCAGATTGTATAGTAATGTTTAAGTGATCCAAAGTGCATTTATTTGGAGGTTTTTATTGAGCTCATTTAATGTAATTTATCGATGGTTTTTGTCTTGTTTGTAAATACGTGCTTTAATACAATTAATGTACTGCATTTTTCCTTTTTTATATTATTTGCAGATAAAAAGAAACCATCTGGAGGTAAAATATACATATGCATACACGTCACTGTCAATTAGTTTCTACTTCAAATCAGGTGTTACTTCATTTTTGTACAGTAATCAAGCTACCAATGTAAAAACTAACATGATGTTTTCATTCTCAGGTGACTTCGATCTGTCTGACGCATTTGGTCCAGGTAAAAATAAGTGTTTTTGCATTTTCTCTGGAACTTCCAGGCTGTGTGTAGTGTGCATTTTTGTTATGTTTACATTTTCTTTCTTGCTTTCTTTAAGAAAAAAAATAGATATTGGGTATTAATGTTTCATTAAATAGTCATGTAACGCTACAATTAGCTGTTATTTATGGCTACTACCAGTGCTATTAGTTTTCCTGTTTTTCTTGTTTTAAAGGTGCTATTTAGAATGATCTGAAAGACTAACAGATTATGCCATACGTTTTCTTTGTATTTTTCCCCACTCTTTCCAGATACTGAGCCCAAAAAGCCTGTGGTCCCACCCAAAGAGAGAGGAACTGGTATGTTTCTGCCAACATCTGTTTGTTAGGGTCTTGTAATGGTGTAATTTCTGAGTTATTTTTACTATGTTTATGAGAGAGAAAAAAAATGGAGTGCACATTGTCTATTTTTAATAATAATGCATGCCTTCAGTTACATGAATTAATTTATTGCAATGTTTTTTTGAAGTTGTTTACTATCAAGCCACCAAAATACAATGTAATTTGATCTTAACTGTAAATGTAATGACTGAAAAAGTGAACATAAAAAAAAAAAATAGATTTTGTAGCAAGTAAAATCTTACTTTGATATACAACTGCAGTAAGCCCACTGATCTACCACTTAATATCATATTGAGCAAAACACAAGTAGAGCTACAATGTTAGCCTAAAATCAGTTCACACACAGTCTTATCACCTATTGTTAACCCCCCCCAACAGTCATGTGCGAACATGACCGCTTGTGACAGCCACAGTTGTGTTAAATTAAGTAAAAAAAAAATAAATATAGCTGAAAGCGGCAACTAAGAGGCAAAGTACAACAGAGGTCAAATGAAGAGCTATGGAGCTGTCTTTAATTACTCGGGAAAAGACCAGGGTTCTTCAACCCTGCTCCTGTAGATCTTCCTTCCTGTTAAAGGGTCATTGGATGCCCATTTTCCCAGTGCCAAGTTAATTTTATTTAATTTTATTTTCTGTATAGCGCCAGATCACAACAGAAGTCATTTAAGGTTACCGTTCCTATAAAACAGGTCTATACCTTGTTCTTTTATTAAACAAACTAAATAGCCTTATGTTATTTATCTTATTTACAAGACGGCATATCATTTCTGCCTCTACATGGTCACGCGTTTACAATTCTCCTCTGCTCTCTGTATCGCACACGGCGGAGTTCCGCCCCGATGCGTGCGCACGCACACACACACACACACACACAGGTGAACACACTTAATCCAGCGGACAGAGAGCGTGCATCAGAAAATGTTGCGTCAACCACCTGAAAAAAGTTTTTTTTTTTTTTTTTTTAAAGCTGCACACTTTGTAGATAATTGTCATAAAAATAAATGTTCCGATGTTTAGTTCAATGTACAGTTCAAATAATTGTTCAATTGGTATATTGACTGCTGTCATTAAAAGAAACGCATGAACACCAAGATTCCTTTAAGTGTTTGTGTCTGTGTCCGACTGATAAAATGTGTGCACATAAATTGTTTTAGTGTCATTTTCAATTCAGTGAAGAGACAAAATTGTGTTAAAAATAGTGTATTTTTTACACTTCAAAAAGTCTATTACACTGCTGTTCTCATGAAACTTTGCATTTATTTTTTATCAAGGTGGTGGAACTTTTGATGACAAAGACCTCTTTGATGTGAACGAAGGGGGTGAATACAAGCCCGATGGAGGCCAAAGTGGAGGTTTGCATCATTATTTTTCTTAAGTTTCTATGACTCCGATTTAGCCAAGTTTCAAGTCCAACCCATTTGCAAGCCCCAAATGCAGTCACAATTACTTTAACCTGAAAGCATTGGTTATTAAATATGTTTTCTATGAAGTACATCAGTGCTTTGAATGAATCTGACTGTGGTTTTTGGTTTGCTTTAAGGACGAGCAGGAGATGTTCCTCAGTCTAATGAAAATGGTATTTATTTCCTTACATTTATGGCAAATACTTGCAATATGGTGTGATAACTTTTCATTTTTATTTTGTAATCTTGAATAGTAAGATTTTCTTGAAATTAATTTATGTTTCTCATTAGGTGGAGCCTCTAATCAACCTCAAGGTAAATATTAAGCATGTATTCATTTTATTCAAAGTGTACTTAAGATTTTAAGTCCATCTATCAGTAATTGTTTTGGAAAAACTGTTGGCCACAAAGTGAAGGTTGTTATGGAGTTTACCTAAGGAGTCCACCAAAATATATGAAAATGAGTGCCTCTGGGAAGTGTCTTTGTTTAGCTCTCACTCACTCTCTGTTCCTCACTTCACTTCTAGCTGTTTGTCCTTTCCGAAGCTTGGTTTACGTGCCAGTGTTGTTGTCTTTCCCAGTGGAGTTCGCATATCCCCTGCTTCAGATTATTTCTTTAATCAAGAATGAGAGAGTTCATGAGTCTGACCACAAAGCTAAAATATTTTAGCCTACATAGCAAGACCATGAAAACTGCACTAGTCTGATGACTAACTGTCACACAGTTCTTATATAAGGACAGGGCGGTTCAACAGACAAAAACAATTATTGTGGGTAGTACATGTTGAGGTTTTCCGCTGGCAGATGTGTTCTGCATGTGTCGGAATAGTAAATGGTTGGTGAATAGTCGTATGCTGTACTTTTAGTATATTTGAAGACTGATTGTTTTGCCTGTTCATTCTGCCAGTGGCTGTGCCCTAAATCTCTGCTTCGATTGCCTGTCGTTGCAGATCTTAACCAGCAGTGGCTCCAGATTATCAAGATGCTAGTCGATAATATACCAGAAGGCCTCAGTGCTTGGATTTCCCAGTTTAATCAAATAGTAAATCCCGTGCTAGAGCAGTTACGGGGACTTCTGAATGTAACAGAGGAAAAAGCAGAGCTCTAACTATCCTGGATAGCAACCTTCTTTGCTTTTATCTGCATGGGTTGCTTTGGTTATGACGCAGACGTGCCCACATTTTTGATGAGGATTTCAAAACAGACATCTCGAATGCCAAATAAGCGTCTGTCAAATCACAGTTGCGAAACTCCTCTGTTGCACAAGAAAAACTCTGCAATGGAGGAGACTAGTATATATTGTATATACCATGCAGCATGTCGCAAAAGACCATTTGAAATCCTATTTGAGCAGCCAGAGCCATCCAGACTGAGACGCATCTGTAAAAAATATGATTGGAATCACATTTCATAACATTTGGATTCTTTGGTGTTTGTTCTTCGTTCTCAGTTTTTGTTCAGGCTCACGGTTTGTCTGGTTTCTTTTCCACAGAAGTAGCTATTTTCTGTCACTCTTCGATTTCTTGAAACATTTTAGCAGCTTTTTTGTATCTGTGATTCTTTTTAATAAAGTGAAATATGAGAATTCCCTCTGTTTGGTTAATGTCATAGTCACGGCCCTACAGCTGCGACCTGTTCTTTTAATTGTCAGCACATCTCGCTGTGTAAACACCATCAACAATGGCACAGTGAGAATGTACTGAGCATGTGTGAAGATCACTGGCCTGCCAGCTAATTAGCAGTTGCCTCTTATCTAGCTGCCTGAAGTTTAGGGAGACAAATCTGCATCGCTTCAGATCTGAAATTATTTTGCAGTCATTAGATTAGATAAGTAGTTTGCTTAGTCGGTTGACCTCCTCCTGCATGTGTGATGTGTGTGCATACACAAAAATGAGTTTAGCAGGCAACGCCTAGCATGTTTACACTGGATAACATGCCCCAGTGATATCACAACAACTCAACAACTAAATTTCTAGCTTAGTAAATTGCACAATTTCAAATATGTAGACTCACTTTTAGTATTATGAATCTCTCTCTTTCTATAGTACAATTAAATCATTTGGTTTAGTGACTGTATGATTTTAAATGAGGCAAAACCCTAAGTATGTCTGTATGCGTGCTGTAAACTGTACTAGTTGCTATATCTGTTCAATTAAAAACAGGTCTAGTTGAAGAACAATACTTACAGTAACATTTGCCAAGTTTTCTGTGGAGAATAGGAAACAGCCGTTGCACCCCCTACTGGCCAAAACTATTACCGTTTGCTTGCCCTCCTGTTATATTCCCATGTTGCTGTAGTTTTGTTATCAAGCTCTAATTAGTAACCGATGAAGCCATTTAAAAAATTGCACACTCTTTTTAAAACCAGCCCTTGTTCTCTTTTATTATGTGTTCTATCACTTTAAATGTATCCCACAGGCGGAGCCATGACTGCCATCATCAGTTCTGTGGGTGTTGCTCTCCTCGGTGCCGCCTCAAGTTACTTTGCTTACCAGAAAAAGAAACTGTGTTTCAAAGTACAAGGAGGTGAGTTTGGCACTTTTCTTCAGTGAAAGAATCAGAATCTTTATATAAGCACTACCTTGGTTTTGATTTATAAAAGTTGCTTACTTTTTTGATCCGTTCTGATTGCAAAAACAAAACACCTCTTTAGATTTCAAACTTTTTTTACTCTTAAAACATTTGAATCATTTGATTCACAATTGTATATTAACACTTGTGGGAGCCACAGTACTTGGGTTGTTTTGAGGTAGCTCAACTAGCAGCAGCTCTTGTAGAGGAAGTGGGGGTTGGGCGTATGACGTGGTAAGCAGTTTAACTGCTTTGCTTGTATAACAAAAGCCCTCGGGCCCTCAACAAGTGGCTCTGTGGCGCAATGGATAGCGCATTGGACTTCTAAGCTACACTTAGAGAAGTGATTCAAAGGTTGTGGGTTCGAGTCCCACCAGAGTCGTGTTTTTTGAGAGAGTGTTAAAAAGAGGCTAACCGTACAATTAGTACGGTGTTGTCCAAGTGTAAGTTATGTGAACATAAGACTTTAGTAACAGGATTTATGAAAATGGCTTTAACAAAATTAAATCATGGGATAAGCTAAAAAGTACCTTTTCTTATAGGGGAGGATCCAGAGAGTGGCAAAACCCGTGGTACTCAGTCTGATCCTCAAGGTACGATGTTTTATTGTAATGATTTATTTTTCCTTTGTTATGTTTTAAGCTTAATGGGAATTTAAGAATGCAGTTCTGACACCATGTCCTATACAAAGTTATCTTTTTTTTTTCAACCTTCGCTCATAACATGGAGAGAAGTTCTGTTTCTTTGACCAGCTTTCTTTTAAATGGATTTCATGTTTTCTGATGCAAGTCTCACCTAGTAGATAACCTCATTTACTATTTTCTCTCCCAAAGTTTTCAGCAACCTGCTCCGTTCATCGTAACTGCGTTGGATCTGCACACTGAAAGTATATATGCACACTGAGCATGTACAGCTATGGAGAGCCTAACCCTATGGGAAACATCTGTTACATGAAAGGCTGGTTTAAAACTAATGTTTTAAGAATCTTAGTGTAAGTGTGTTTTTCTTTTCTTTCTTTTTTTTATTGGATTATCTAAGTTGTATTGACTCTAATCTTTATTTTGTTTAAGAATGTATTTTTTATTCTGTATTCAATCTTTTGTGTAACTAATTGTTCATCTTTAGAGGAGGTAGAGTCACTAAATGGCTTTTAGTGTTCTTTTAGTATTTCAGATAGTGCCAATGTAAGATAATGCACTTTAAAATGACAAATTGTTACACTTTTTGTAGAAGTACAGCAAGTTGCATAAGCCAGGGACTTGCTTCTGTAAAGCGCAAGCTGTCTATATATAGATGAATGCATCAGTTAGGCTTTTGTTCATTCTTGCTTTACTCTGAATAAGAAACTGCCTTCTTTCCCAATCAAACAGAAGACAATGAGGAAGAGGAGGATGAGGTTGCTGATAATGTATGGCGATGCCATAGAACCATACCATTCAGTCAAAGGTTCTTTAAAGAACCATCTCTTTCTTACCTTTTAATAATCTGAAGAACCTTCTTTCACCACAAAGAACCTTTTGTGAAACAGAAAGGTTCTTCGGGTGTTAAAGGTTCTTTATGGAACCAATTAGACAAAAAGGTTCTTCTATGGCATCGTGAAGCACCTTTATTTTTAAGAGTGTATGCTGATGAGAATCTACGAGTTACTAATGGCAAAATGTCAACTAAGGTAACACTTTATTTCGATAGTCCACTTTAGACATTTTACTAACAGTAAGTAACTTTGCAACTACATGTCAACTAGCAGTCATTAGAGTATTAGTAGACTGTCTGCTTAATATCTTTTAACACTTTATTTTGATGGGTCAACAACATACAACATACTGACTATCAGAAACTTTGCAAGTATATTTCAACTTATTCTACTAACCCTAAACCTACCCTAACAGTCTACTCTGAGAGTTAGTAGACATGTAGTTGCAAATTAATTAGAATTTGTTGACATGTAGTTACAAAGTTACTTATAGTTAGTAGAATGTCTAAAGTGGACTATCGAAATAAAAGTTACAAAGTTACTTATAGTTAGTAGAATGTCTAAAGTGGACTATCGAAATAAAGTGTAACCAAATAAAATGTAACTAGTTTAAAATTATGGGATGCCAACTAATTTCTGTATCATTTGCGTTTTTATTTTTACATTTGAATGGATTAATAGACAAGGTAATTATAAAAATACTCTTATTACTGTAAATACGGCTGAAGATGGATGTTTAAAATCGAATGCGTGTGTAATGCACCTCTTTTACCATCCAGAGAAATTATGATTGATGATTTATTGTATGTATAATAAAGTGTCTAAAATATGCATTTGCTTTTCTTAACCAAATAAAGTATGTGTCCATTTCTGGATTAAGCATATTGTTCATTCTGATGTTGCTGAAACATTGTGTTCTTTCATTCAGCGCCGCGCTTGTTTTCCTTCTTTCAGTATTCAGCATAATAAGTTATATGAGTCTATAATCGATAACGGTAGATCTATGTTCAATCGTAGTAGTGGGGGTTGAATGACCCCTGTCGCGTGACCGTTAGGCTACTAACAGTTTTCACTTGTCATTGAGCATGGACTGAGGCGCGCTGCTATTTGAAGATAGCACGACTATCGTTTCATCGACTTGCCATTTATTTTAAACGCTGCTATTTGCTTTATAGCACTTGTTCCATACAGATTTCCCTCATTACTCAGAAGAGCGATATAAAAACTGAGATGGCGGGTAAGTTCACCCTTCTTATACCGTTTTCGTCCAAATATCATACACTAGACTGTAAAAAAATATAGCCTAATTGAGCACCCTTAAATCCTTGACTGGGTAGGGTGTGTGATGTGTTTTGACATATTCAAGCAAATTTAGTTATTTACATGAAATTGGCGTTTGAAAGAAATTGTTTATTCCATGTGCTGTCACCAACAGTATGCACTCTATTTGCATTTCAAACCTGTTGTTTCATTCTAAGTTCAATCACTGGCCATACAGTGAAGAGTCATTGTGCCATCGGCTTCCTTTGTCTGCCAATGAAAAAGGGGACAGGAAGACAACAGTGGTGATAGATAGTGTATATCAGTAACCAGCTCACACTGGCGCCTGATTGTGATGGGCCATTGAGTTAAACTTGAGACCTTGAGTGCCATGCATTTGGAAAACTTCCTTGTTAATGCAAGTCAAAAGGTGGACACACTTTTTTTTATACAATGCATTTGTTATAGTATGTATTAATAAAAATGCATTCATTGTTACTTCACGTTAGCTCAGGCACATTAAAAAACATTAACAGATGCAACTTTTGATTTTAATAATGTTGAAATTAACATTTACTAAGATTTCTAAATGCTTCAGAAGTATTTTTAATTGTTCATGTTAACAAATGTTATATGGAACCGGTAACACTTTATTATAGGGACCAATTCTCACTATTAACTAGTTGCTTATTAGCATGCCTATTAATAACATATTGGCTGTTTATTATAAGGCACATATTCTGCGTGACCATATTTTTCATCCCTAATAGCTAAACTTAACATCTACCTTACTAACTATTAATAAGCAGCAAATTAGGAGTTTATTGAGGCAAAAGTTGCAGTTGATAGTTAGTTAATAGTGAGAACTGGACCTTAAAATAAAATGTGACCATGGAAGGTTATTATAAATAATTTTATGACTTCTTTTCATTCACTATCTGGTCCATTTTGTCAAATTTTTTTAATAATAATACTAATTTCATGCATTTAGGAATAAAACAAAAGTTCGGTTAAAATATAAGATCATCGTTTAAGTCAGATGTGTCTAAAAAAAAATGTTTTTGACTAGTAATGCATATGGTATATTATATAAGTTGACCCAAAGCACATTTACTGCATGTTTGACCTCTGTTTTTACCATTTCTGTCTGATGTTTTATCTGTCTCTCAGAGGCTCAGGCCTTTGTGACCCTGGCCACCACAGATGCCTATAGCATGGGATGTTTAGTGGTAGGCAAAAGTTTGCGCAGGCATGGAACATCAAGGAAGTTAGTGGCTATGGTTTCCCCCAATGTTTCCAGAGCATCAAGGTGAGAGGGTAACTATCCTCCACCATTCATTTTGAAACAACATTAATGTAAATCCCATGCTGTACCCTGCTTTTAATTATACCTTGCCATGCGTTTGCAAGTCTGTAATAGTTTTCAGTGCAACATTAATTTTATTTTCGGTTGCTTCCCATCTGTCTTGGATTGTCTTTGACTTATTTGGCTCATTGATTTTTATGCATTTGCCTAGATTGGCCCTGGAGGACGTGTTTGATGAAGTTGTAGTGGTAGATGTGTTGGACAGTAGAGACCAGACTCATCTCACCTGGCTGCGACGTCCTGAACTGGGGGTCACCTTCACCAAACTCCACTGCTGGACCCTTACACAGTACAGCAAGTGTGTGTTCTTGGATGCAGACACACTCGTGAGTACTTGACAGTAAAGATGGCTACTAAACACTAAGGTGTTCAAAGTTTTTGCTTTAGGAACATACAGTATATATCCAAAAGCAAAGTTATAGGCTTTTTATTAATAGCCTTGTATTCACAATAGGCAATAATAAAATTAACATATGTTACAGTGCAGGTAACCTTTTAGAGAATTTTAGACTTTTAGAGAATAATGCATGAGGTGTTGGTCCCAAAATGTGGCTGTAATATAACTCTGTGCCGCAGGTACTCTGTAATGTTGATGAGCTGTTTGAATATGAAGAATTGTCTGCTGCTCCTGATCCAGGCTGGCCGGATTGCTTCAACTCTGGGGTATTTGTGTTTAGGCCCTCCCTGAATACCCATACCCAAATACTGGAACACACTGCACAGCACGGCAGCTTTGATGGTGAATCACACAGTTATATTTAGCTGATATTACATTCAGATCTTTTAAGTTCAGGCTAAATTGGATGCACTCAAAGCCTGTTGGAACTTTAATTAGCCTCAAATGCTGTTTTGTCACATTTGTATTTTTTTATCTTTAAAAACAACAAGAGAAGCGCATATACATTACCATTCAAAGGTTTCAGTAAGATTTCATTTGAAAGAAATGAATTATTTTATTCAGCAAAGATGCATCCAATTGATCAAAAGTGACAGTAAAGGCATTCCAAATATCGCAAAAGATTTCAAATAAATGCAGTTCTTTTGAACTTTCAATTTATCAAAGAATCCTGAAAACATTCAGAAATGTTTCTCAAGCAGCAAATCAGCATCTTGGAATGATTTCTGAAGAATCATGTGATGTTGAAGACTGGAGTAATGGCTGCTGAATATTCAGCTTTGCATCAAAGGAATCAATTACATTTGAAAATATATTACTTTATATATATATATATATATATATATATATATATATATATATATATATATATATATATATATATATTACAATTTTATCGTCGCTGACCCTAGTTACCTGTGGTTGGCCTGGCCGTGCGTCACTCAGAAGAGAGGCTCATGAATATTAATTAGACAGGCCAAAATCAACAAGGAAATCACTCACTGCTTTTGACTGAATAGCTTAAGTAACTTTAATAAGGATTAATCGTCAATTTATGTAGTCAAATATGCAATGTTATTTTACATTCATTACTTTATTCAATTTCTGTACCTAAAAAACTAATGTTAGACCTACCTAAAAAACCTTCAAAGCACTCTTCATTTTGTTTATCTTTGCTCTATTGTATTTATTTGTGCTGTTGCTTGTAGTTGGATTATTTGTTCTTATTTTCTTTATTTGACAGTATAGTCCTTTTCCCCCTAAAATGGCACATACCGAACCGTGCCGAAACCATGACTGTAAAACCGTGATACAAACCGAACCGTGAGTAATTTGAACCGTTACACCCCTAATTTTTATAGATCAACAAATAAATTAACAAATGTAATGCATTTCAATAATTTTACCAGAGTTTATCTTAGATATAACAGAGATGGTTATATATTACATATATATATATATATATATATATATATATATTACAATAT